CCCCCTCCCATCCGCCCACATACGCATGCGCACGCAGCCAAATGCAAGCTTGCGCGCACCGCACCCACGCGTGAAAGCTCAAACACAAGCAAGCACGCACACCCTCACCCCCTCACACACATCAGCCGTTGCCGATTCCGCCCCACCTTTATCTCGTTTGCCATGACCGCCAGAGTGTCCTCTGCCGCCTTCTGGCCCAGCTCCCTCAGAGCAACAAAAAGACCCGCACCCCCGCCCGCATTGGCGTCATGTGCGCAGGGTGTGGCCCCGCCCAGGCGTCCTCCGCGTTTTCCTCCCCCTGAGTCAGCAGAGGGTTGAGGCTGCCGTACACACACAGAGTGCGACGCGGAGGCGCCGTTCTGAGCGCGCGCTTGCGGCGTGAGCACTCTTAAAAGGGCGTCGCTGGCAGCCATCAGCCAGCCCAAATGGCTGGCTGCTGGTGCAGGGCGGGGGCGCTGCTGTGTGCGGATGCTCCAGGGGCTGCGCCCTGCACGCTGCGGCCGTCCGTGCGCGGCGCCTGTATATCTCTTTTGCAAGAAAATAGCAGTCCAGTATTGAAGACCTCTCATTTGCAAGTAGGGGGTTGATGGGTCATGTCCATGTGACGCACTTCACTGCCGGCCACCAGGGTCGCCACCGCCGGGCCCCCCACCCACGTTTGCACCCACACTCCCGCAACCCACCGCGGCGGCGACATCCAAGTTGGCTGGGGGGGAGAGACCGAGGCGCTAATCCGCGGGCAGGGCCGCGTAGTAGAACACATCCTGCGTGGCAAACCTGCGGGCATGTACGGCAGGACGGCAGGCGCGAGCACTGATCTGTGAGGGCAAAGGAGGGATCGGTGCCCTTGTGCGAGCAGGAGCCTCGGGGCAGTGGAGGGGGCTGCAGCGCCTACGGGCGGCAGCAGCCGGGGGGCCGGCCGTCAGAAGCCTTGTGTACAAGGCGGGGCGGTACCAAAGGGTCTCAGATTTGTGGCGCACGCTGCATGCACACACACGCGCCTGTGTGTCGGCCGGGTGGCGACTGCAGCCAAGCACGCAGCAGTGGTCCCAATGAAGGAGGGGCGGCGCGTTGAGCGGCGCGGCGCTCGTGTGGTTTAGTGCGGGCCGGGGTGTGGCGCGTCCAAGAGGTGGTGCGCACGAGGAATCCCGGCCGACACGCTTGAAGGGTTCCCGTGATGACGTCTGAAGCGGTATGATATTGCCTTCAATCTGTAAAGAGGGGGTGGCATGGCGGCAGAGGTGATTTTGGCTGCACACAGGCTGCATTGGGATCAAGGAGGGGCCACGCTGGACGGCACAGGAGTCAACCAGTTGTCCCTCCCTTCTGCTGCGACACCCACGGAGCAGGTTGTTGGGTACAAATAGCAGAGCCCATCTCGAATTCCAATCGCGGACCCGACATGCGCACGCGCGTGTGCCCCCGCCACCGCGGCTTGCGGCCCCTTGCGCACCGTGATCGCCGGCGTGGGGCTGTAGATGATGAGGGTGCCGCTCTCGACTATGACTGAAATCCTCCCCGCTGGCCTGGGCCCATGAGAGAGCGATTGTGAAGCGACGTGCGGGGTGGGGCTGCAGGGCGTGCTCACTTCGCAGGCAGCTGCGGGGCGGTGCAGGCAAGTGCTGCCTTGCCATCTCGACCAGCTTCGCGCTCGAGACATTCAAATATGTAGTCGTAATCGCTCTGCGCAGGTGCGAGCCGAGCGGCGACAGTTGCTGCCAGTGCAGAAGTCCGTTTTTGAGGCCGGGAAGTGCGCAGGTCTTGTACGCAAGTCAGCAATACACTACGAGTTGCAATTGTCCGCATGCATGGGCTTGATGGTTTATAGATCGCAATGTTGCCTTTGTACAGTTACTCCTGGAGATCACCCGGTGACACAAGACGCGACGCATTTGGATAGTTGCCAAAACCGTCGAAAACCAATACGGTATGCCGCCAGATTCAAGCCACTCCCATGATGCCGATGGTCTGCCTAGCTCAGAAGCAAGCATTTGCACTGTCAGCCTCTCGCTCTGTATCGCCGCAGTCAACTCATGAACGAACCCCCTGCTCTTTGAGGCCAGCGCATAGGGAAGGCAACTACTGTACATCTGCAGGCGTCACCATCTGAACATACTGTATATATCATCATTCAATTGCAGCACGCTGCGTGTCCGCTCTGCTCATGCTGCTGCCGCACTCCTCAGCAGTGTTGCCGCTGCCCCCAGGCACCGTGGACCATACAGGCTGGCCAGAGCATTTGCACAGTACGTTGCGCTGGGGCAAGTTACGTTCCAAGCTCAGCTGCTGCTTGAATTAGAAAAAATCAAACCTTCAATGTGCCGCCCCCCCCTCCTGCCCTAGGCAGGGCCTGGCCCTGGCCCCCACAGCAGCCGAGAACTGAGCTGGCCGCGCACGTTGTGGTCCCGCATGCACTTGCCTTTTCGGCGCCACTTCAACATAACTGACAGTGTCAGACGTCGCATGCACATACGCATACCAGACGAATGCGGCCTCCGATAATCCAGCCATCTTCTTGTTGGCTGGATTTTAGGAGGGTTTTGCACACGTGCTGCAGTGGGGAGTGAGGGAGGGGCATGCCGCAACTGTCCAGCATTCACAACAGACCTGCATGCGGCCAAAAAAGTGTATGCCTAGATTGAGGCTTGTTCATTACAGTATTAGAATTTTGTCTTGAGAGTGAAGTTTGAGAACATCCCCCAGTCGCCCGCTTCTGCAGCAAGGGAAGCTGGGGCACAATCCATCCATCTCTTACATGCCGCATGTACGGTCCTGGCTTCGCCTCATGCACGGCAGGCCGGGTAAGGGTGGACAGAACGGTAGAGCGGTCAGATTGTTGACGCCCTTGGCACATAAAATAGTGTTTGGCTTGATCTTATTGTGAGCTGCGGCAAAGCCAGGCCCGTAGCAGCCGCATGACATGCACTCCAGGTCAGCTCCCCCCCTCTAGCCTGTCGGCTGATGAAACAGCATGCAGGGACTGCGTTGCAGTCGCGTGCATATGCGTTGCCATAACAGTATCAAACCAAGCATGCAGGGCCGCTGTGCATCGGGCTAGCAAGCAACCAGCTCAACCGCAGGCTCCCAGTTCATGGGTAGCCAGCAACGTGCACCCCACAACTAGCAGACTGAGCACTTCAGGCCCGTGCCCTGGCAGACGTCAGTGTTGCCTTGGAACCTCTCAAGGCCCCGCGGCAGGCAGCCCACCAAGCCAGCATTCTCTTTAAGGACCAGGGTGGTGATGGGCACCGCGCCCAGCGCGCCCCAGGAGGCGGGAATGCTGCCCTGGAGCTTGTTGGTGCTAAGCCAAAGCGTTGTCAGCTTTGAGAAGGAGCCCCAGGACGCGGGCAGCGGCCCCGTGAAGGCGTTCTTGTTCAGCTCCAGGTCCTCCATCACCCGCCAGGCCGCGCTAAAGCCGGGGCTCAGCGTGCCGGTGAGCTGGTTTTCGCTGAGCAGCGGGTGCGGGAGGGGGGACAGAGGGGTGATCAGGCGGTTGCGAGCAGGATAGGGTAGGAGGGGGGTACCAGCAGGCTGCGGCTGGGGTTGTGAAAGCTGCTGGGCGCTGGGCTTGCAGGTTGGAGGCTTGAGTGCTGCTGCCGTCGCTCCAAGCCCAACACGGCGCGATGGACCTGCGCAAGCGTCCGTTGTCGCCCGCTCCCCACGTGCCACTGCCCCCTCCCCTGCCCCTTCTCGAATACGGGGAAGTAAGAGCAAAGTGATAGCAGCCTGTAGCCGTTTCATAGGATACTTCCCGCACCCCAAATCAATCCCCGCTGGCAACAGCCCCTCGGGGGTTGGTGTGTTTGTGTGTGTGGGGGGGGGGGGCGGTGTGGTGTGTGTGGTGTGTGTGTGTGTGTGTGGGGGGGTGCGGGTGTGTGTGTGTG